CTAAGAAAAAAATAAAAAAAAAAAAGCGAGGTCACATATAAGAAAAACAAGCTTCTTTCATACTCGGGGCATCCTATTATTGTTTAATAACACAGACATTCCCAAGATGTCGGTGCTCCTTGGTGTGGGGAGTGTTCTATACTCCCCTTGCTTTCTCCCACCAGTGCCCTTGCCCACCCCTAGAGAGGGGGGGCGCGCGCCCGTGGGAGGCCTTGGATCCCCACCCAGCCGTCTTTTTGCGGGACGCGGGTTACATGGACTTGGGCCGGTTTCGGCTTGGGCCCTTGCAAGCTGCCGGGCTCTCTGTTTCCCTGTCAAGAGAGAGCCCGGCAGCCCCTATCTAACCCCCCAGCGTTGTCTTGAGGAGACCGGACGCGTCCCAGGAACATGCTCTGTAACCTTGACTCCCTGCTTGTTTTCTCTGAAATTCTTTTTTTCTTTTTTGTAGAAAAGCAGGTGTCATAGAAGCAACACACATTTATTGAGCACTTCTTGTGTCCCAGCCCCTGCTCCAGAAAGTGGGGGGGGGGGGGGCATACAAAGTCCCAACTCTGGTGGAGATGACTTGAGACAGACAGACAAATAGTAGAGCCCAAACCCTGGCAGGTCAGATGTTGGTAACAGCTATGAAGGAAATAAATCAGTGGGGAGGGCTAGGAAGGTGCAATTTTAAACAGGGGTAAGTCAGAGAGGGCCCCTTTGCCTGCAAAAGGACCCGAAGGTGACAGAGGGAGCCGATAGGAGTAGAGGGAATGGAGGCTTATTCAAGGAGGCAGTAGCAGCAAGTGCACAGGCCGGGAAGCAGCCCTGGTGTTGGCTCCCAGGACCCGTGGAGGAAGTGAGGACAGGGAGGCAGGGTTAGCGGCTTCAGCATTGGAACAAGGGCCCTTCTCCCAGAAAGGCCTGTGCTTGGATTCATGATCTGCTGTTGTGGTCTGGAAATTCCTGATTATTTTTGAACAAGAGGTCTCAGAGTTTCATTTTGCACTGGGCCCTGCGAATTCTGTAGCTGGTGATGTATAGATGGTGCAGGGCCTTGTGGGCTGCAGGAAGGACTGGAGATTTTACTCTGAAGAAGGTGGGAGCCCTGGAGGGCTGTGGATGGAGGAGGGATGGCACCTGACTCAGGTTTGATAGAATGTCTCTCCCTGCCATGCGGAGATCAGGCCTCAAAGAAGCTGTTGAAATAATGCGTGTTACCACCCTGGCCAGTGTTAGATACACAATCTCTTAATTCTCATACCATCATCAACCATGCAGCTTGCCCTCTACAGAAGAATAACTTTTTTGGGCCTTGCGTTTTCCCATCTGTAAAATGGGAACTTGGACCCTGTCACTTTTCCCAGGCAGATAAGGGCCTAGAACGAGGGCCAATTGAATAAGCAAAATTTAAAGCACCCCCAAAACCCTTCAAGATAAATAATACTTTAATGTAATATTTTTAAAAACAAAAATTAATGTAAAAAATTGTCATGGATCCCAGCTGGCGTGGCTCAGTGGTTGAGAGTCAACCTGTGAACCAGGAGGTGGTTCGATTCGATTCCTGGTCAGGGCACATGCCCAGGTTGTGGACTCGAGCCCCTGTGTGGGGTGTGCAGGAGGCAGCCAATCAGTGATTCTCTCTCATCATTGATGTTTCTATCTCTCTCTCCCACTCCCTTCCTCTCTGGAATCAATCAATATATATATATATTTTTAAAAATTCATGGTGATGGAAGGAAACTAAACTTTGGGAGGTGAGCACACAATGGAATATACAAATGTAGGATTATAATGTTGTATACCTGAAATTTATATAATGTTATTAACCAATGTTATCCCAATAAATTTAATAGAAATAAATAAATAAAAATACATGATGAGCAGCCTGGCTGGTGTGTTCAGTGGTTAGAGCGTTAGCCCGCACACTGAAGGGTCAGGGGTTCAATCCCTGGCCCTGGTCAGGGCATGTCTGGGAGGCAACCAATGGATGTGTCTCTCTCACACCCCCCTCTCTCTTTCCCTTTCTCTCTCTCTCCCCTCCTCCTTCTTCCCTTCCAACAACAACAAAATGCATGATGAGCAAAAATGCCAACCTATTATATGATGGCGGGATCCGATGGGGCCAGAGACAAGTTACAAAAGTTCAGGGCCTCCCCAGTCCTGTGCTGTAAAAGAAAAGGAGCTGCTTTTAGAAAGTTCTTCACTATTCCAGCCGGGTTCTGGAACACACAGACCCCGCAAGCATATGAGGATCCCCGATTGGGACGGGCTACATTATTTCTGGGGCCCAGGGCAAAATGAAGATGTATGGCCGCTTGTTCAAAAATGGTGAGGAATTTTGAGACGGTGATAACAGAGCGGTAAACCGAGGGCAGGTCCTTCCCTGGAGAGGTCAGGGTCCTGTGGGAGTGCACGAGTCGCCTGTCCTCGAAGCTGGCCCTGCTCCCAGCACACACCTCCCACACACCTCGGGGCCAGACACCCGCTCTCCTGGGAGGCCCCCTAATCTGACCCTCACCTGCGCAGGCACCTCCCGGTATTAAGGCACCTGCTCCGTGACCAGACACTTCCATGTTAACAGCCTCCAGAGCTGATCGCAGACACTCCCGGCACCGTGGGGTCAGGGCGGGGCCACAGGGAGGGACTCCGTGCTTTGCCTTTGAAGGGGAGTAATTATGAAAAAGTAATTTTCAGATAAAAGGGCCTGTCAGCACATCGCGAAGCCCAGAAGTGTGGCCCAAACTATGCATAATAATAAACTCACCCACATGTATGTGTCTTTACTACCTGCCAGGCTCTGCCTTAAGCATTTTTAAAATATATATATATATTTTATTGATTTTTTTACAGAGAGGAAGGGAGAGAGATAGAGAGTTAGAAACATTGATGAGAGAGAAACATCGATCAGCTGCCTCCTGCACACCCCCCACTGGGGATGTGCCCGCAACCAAGGTACATGCCCTTGACCAGATTCGAACCCGGGATCCTCCAGTCCTCAGGCCGATGCTCTATCCACTGAGCCAAACCGGCCACGGCTCTGCCTTAAGCATTTTAATCCGAGGTCCTGCCATTATCACATTTGAATGAGGGGGAAGTGAAGGCACTGAGAGGTTAAGTGACTTGGCCGAAATCACACAGCCGGTAGGTGGCAGAGCCAGGGTGTGAACCTAGGGACTTAGACCCTTGACTCCAAGTTACTGCCTTTCCAGAGAGGGCACGAGGCGGGGCAGATCTCAGTAGAGCTGTGCCTGGGACTGAATTCTATCCTCCCCAATCTCTGTGTTGAAGCCCTGACCCCCAGTGTGGTTGTCTCTGGAGATGAGGCTTTTGGGAGATAAGCGTTAGTGAGGTCGTAAGGGTGAGGCCCTCGGCTGATAGCACCCGTGTCTGTATAAAAAGAGGAAGAGAGATCTCTCTATCACACTCACCGTAGCAAGGCCGCAGGAGGACAGCAGTAAGGCGGCCATCTGCAAGCCAGAGCGTTCTCACCAGAAACAGAATCCGCTGGCACCTTGATCTTGGACCTCCCGGCCTCCAGGACTGTGGGAAATGCACGTTTATTGTTTAGAAGCCGCCAGGTCTGTGGTGTTTGGTTACGGCAGCCGGAGC